CGTTATGATAATCATTACTTAGGCACACTTTGTATAGAGTGGTCTACGTCCTCTGTCTCACCTATTTCTGTTGCTGTTGCTTTCTTGAGTATTTTGCGTAGTAATGCTCACTAAAGTGTTGGGTTTCCTAAAATATAGTTGAATAGCGATGGCTTGCTTATCCGACATATCTACTAGTAAACGAGTGCTGTAGAATCCCTACTGTACTCGTTTACTAGTAGTAGTTTACCAGCATTAGTTTGTAGGGACTAGTCTACTCTAATCAGTTTCTTCTCGTTCTTCGCATTTTCAGAATGAGCAACAAAATAAAAATAGCTATGAATATTCAAAATTCTAATAATAATAATTCTCTAATTATTAATATAAAATGTAAATTAAATTTTAAAAATTATTTTCAGTGTACCAAATAAACAATTTTCTTTCTTTCTTTCTTTCAAAAGTGCTTAAATTAAACTCGATTTGAATAATGAATTTTCTATTCTATTCTCTCTTTGTAAGGTGTATTTCTATTTTTATGGTACTGAAATTACAGGGTACGAAAGCATGACATTGTAGTCAGAATGGAAACGCCTGAGTAAATGCCTCCGGTGCTGTTAATGTACAATTATATATATATTTATAAATGTATATGCCTATTATGGTTGCAAATTACCATCAAGTGGGTGTTATCAGAATATAATTTAAATCAATTCCTGTTACATAAAAAATTCTTATTATTCTATAAAAATTAACAATTCATAATCTATTACGATAATTTGAAATACCTATCTAAGTATGCTATCTAAAATGGCGGACAAATGATTAAAGCACTAGTGATTCTAATGAAAAATAGCAACAGTTGCATGTTCCATGTTCTATGCATGATTTTCTGTTGCCACTCCTATTAATCAGTGTATCGTACGTATTGTAATAATTGCACTGGCTTTCTACACTGAAACCATAAAACAATAAAGTATGTTGCATTGCTGCATATAATTCAAGTGATTTAACAATGGTCATTATAATAGATTGATGATAGATTCAGTAATGCATTTGTTTATTGTTTGTTGAGCAAATAAAACTCATAAATGGCACCGAATACAACTGAAAATTAATGAAAAATATAAAGAAACCTGTCAGAGTCCAATAAGCGTATTTTAACTATTTAACTTACCTTCCTTCCTCAGAGATATTTGAAACCAAGAAAGTGGTAAAATATCTAAAATGCATTTAAATGAGGTTTCGTATGTATTCGTGTTATTCAAAAAATATTTATAATAAAGTTTATTTAAATTCAATTCATTAAGTTAAAAGGTTAAAAAAATATACTCCTTGTAAATTATTTGTTCCGATAATCCACAGTACGCCATCTAGTTCCAATATGTAATTTTATTTTATCTGTGGCTCCTAAAGCAGCACTTAGGATGTGGTTAGGTACTGAACAGCTGTTAGAAATAGTTATATTTATGGATATAACCGATGGTAGCGGGTTCAATCACCACATAATACAAACATTATGTGGTGATTGAACCCGCTACCATCGGAAGTAAGTCAAACAGATAGACCATCGAGGTCGCCAAACAACTGAAAAACAATTTAATAAGGAACTACACCAAACATGGAAATATGTGCCTTCTCCTAACTAACGTGTAAAGTTCTCAATCATTATAACTAAACAAATTATCGAAATGTTGATGAACTTAATCACAGGTCATTTATCACAAACTTGGGCCATAATCGATAAAATCCAAAATAATTTATCGCTCAGAGAATTGGATCTAGTTATCCATTCTTACAATAATAAAATTTAATATGTTAGTACGTATTAACTGTTTCCCACTCTACCTGCGTATATAGGAGTAAAAAGTATTCTTGAGCCAAAAGTACAATATGATCTATCTCTGGACAAAATTTCATTGCCCACCGTTATGTGTGAGTAATAAATATTTAAATTCAAAAGCTAATATTTATAAAGAGAGAGAAGATAGAAGTAAGGACCATTATTTAAAGATTTTAATATGAAAGTGAATTACGAAATAAGAGATCATTGCACTGTGTAAGAGATGATATTCATAAAAGGAAATCTCCATCAGCCGTCATATCTGAGCTCACTCAACTCAGATATGACGGCTTATGAGGACGGGTGGAGAAAGACGACATACTACGGCGACTACGGATTTTTTTCTATAAATATTATGAACGCTACTTGAAAGACAACGTTTAGAATATGATAAAATATTTAAAATTTTATAAGACGTAGAATATAAAGTTATGTCTATTTGTGATAAAAGTGGTATATTACGGTACCGTACGGTATATACGGTTTAAATTAGCAATTTGACAGTTATTGATTTATTTTACACTTCTATTACACACCCTTGGCGCAAAATTATAACAAAATAATTAATAAAGCTGATTAGATAACATTAGGCTACATTCGCAGATGGTTATATACAGAAACATTGCGGGTGTTAGCAAGAGTTATGTAGTAGACACAAAAATATCAAAATCTAGCCAAATGGACCATTTGCGCATTATTTATATAATACAATAGTAGTTATTAGCATCTGGACGGGACAGCTGCTCATATAAACGCAGTATACATCGGCATAGAACATTTACGCATACGAATGTCCTTTATATTATAGTTTGTACATGATTTCTTCTGTATTTATTATATATCTTTAGTAAGACTATTGTTGCAATAGAAAGTGGTAACTGTAGCCTAAATGATCAGTACCGCGGACATCACACACACAGGAGACACAGGTACCCACGAATGCCGATGTACCAAGTCAGTCTTTAGGATATCCAATATGAGCATTAAATTTCAAGCTGATTTATTATCTTTTTTTTTATTAATTGGGATTTGGCAACTAGCAATGAGTTTTTTTTTTTAATTTTCTGTTATACTTATTTTATCGTATTTCAATATTTTTTTATTTATTTTATATTATAATCATACAATTGTTTTTAGAGTTCTGTTAGTGATAGAGTAGTGGGACTGGATGGATGTGGCGGTCCCGTTGCATGCGTCCGCGCTTTTGTCCCTAGGCAATACATGAAAATTAGTGGTTTGCACAGACACTTGTTATATATCGTTCATTGTACCTATGTCGAATATTGTTAACTAACTAATATAGTTGTACGTACTTACTTTGTATCTTTTTCTTTGTTTTTTTTATACCTTTTGTATGTATATATTCTTTTACGCAAATAAGTTTTATTTATTAATAATTAATACACTAAGCTGAGAACAGAGTGTGTAGTAACTATTAATATAGGCCATAAAGCACAGTTCACTTCTTGCTACCATAACTCCAGAGTAAGTGCACCGCTTAAGAAGTTAATTTTGGAATTTTAAGAAATAACACTGTAATCTCCCTGAGATTCTGTGAAATAGGGCATCAGTAACGTAAGACGTATATTTAACGTGATGTTCACTGAAGATTACGTTAATAAGCACAATAACGTCGGCTGTATGTGAATCTGTTTATTATAGCTTTAACGATCTAAAATGACTTGTCTTGCGCTAAAGCTGTCTATTTGTAATATGTATTTTATTCTGCAATAAAATATAAATAAAAGGACACTACTGACTTATAGAATATATGTGTAAAATTGCGGACCTATCCCAAAAGATAGATTTCTTCCAGTTAACCTTTGAGTACCTGAGAGGAATTGTGGAATGTTAGAAATAGGTGCAATAAATAATACGCGTCACAATGAAATATATGCAAACATATATATAAATTAATATAGTCTAAATAATAATAAATTATAAATATAATAAAATAAAAAAAAACAAGCATATATATACATATACACACCAGAAAGGAAACAAATATTGTATATAAGTGGAGAATTAAAAAATGTTTCAAATGAGTGAAATATAAGCGTGGATAGAAAATGTAGCAATAAAATTAAATTAATGTTGATGCTATTGGAAAATTTTTTTACTATGTATTTTTGAAACTACGACTAAGAAATATTTATAGAAATATTTTTTATTGTAAATACCATTTTTATGTTTTTCAAACATATTAACAATTTTATATGTAACAAGGTTGAATTAGAAATGTTATTGTTAAAAGAAATGTGTGAATTGAACTGATTGAATGTAGACCTAGTAGATTGTAATGTAATATCATTTGATTAGTGACTTTGTAATAGGGTCATAAGATACAATTTTATGTGTGTTTAATAACGCTCCTTATATAATTTGTCATGTATACCTTAGGTATATATTTGCTGTACGTATTTTCTGTGAATAATGCAACATATTTATCGTGGCTTATTGTTTTTTATTTTTTTTAGTATAATAAAAACGTCAATGTAATAAATGTAATGAAAAAAATATGAAGTTATGAAATATTACTGTTTTGTCATGTCCGGTATTGAGATTGTACAATAGAATTATTCTTAACGTATCAATATAATAATATTGCAATATTTTACCTGAGAAATATTTGAGAGGCCTCTTACACGAAGTTTCGTAAAGAAGTGATATTGTTTTTGTTTAAAAAATAAGATATGGTATAGTTTTCTATGGATCAAACGAGCACGTGACACAGCTGGTATTTGTAATATCTATAGACTACTATTTACCATTAGACACGTGTTATGCTTTTAACAGGCAAATATTAAAGAGTAGGCATTTCTAGCAGATACTGAAGATTTTCACTTCGTGTAAGCAAGCCTCTTCATTGCGCCATCAAGTATGACATAATTGTATCCATAAAACATTAAATACCCATAACCTTTAAAATATTTTGTTACTACTACTTTAAGAGACATAATTTATTTAAAGAAAAATAATAAAAGACATTAAAATAGACGTAAAATGAAGCCGTTAACGTGGACGGATGTTGTAGGTGTACCTCACTAGAGGCACGGATGCGGTGGAGTGGCGAGGCGCCATTGCGCGCCTTCACTATCCTCGATAAGGCAAGGAGGACCGCGGAGTTGCGAGGCGGGTAGAGGATGGGCCGCGCTAGGTGAGCGGTGCGCGGCGGCGGTGCATGTACGCGGCGGCGGGCGGCGCGTCGCTCGCGGGCCGTAAGGTAAATTGTTACCATAAAGCCTAATTTACAGTATAAATTTAGTGATATAATAGTATGCCGATAGGTACAATATAAGTACGTTCCAATGGTTATAACACACAAGGCGAATAATCAGCCAGAGCCGAAGGCAAGGGTGTAATAGAGCCGAGTGTGTTAAATATGCACGTATATCGTACGACATTTTTCAACACACTTTCTCATGACACTAAATAATAAGCCCAATGGGGATGCAAAGTATTTCATTCACAATGATGTCGATAGTTGACAGTGCCTCTGACTATCCCATCCAGGATAACAATCGTAATCGGATATGTGTGTATTCCACCATTTTGAGAAGTGTTTGTATTATTATGGTAACTAAAAATAAATTAAAATACATATATCCGCGATCCTTTTTCTTGGACGTATAAAAATAGTAAAGGATATATATATATAAAAAGAAGAAGCAATTACAATATATATGTATATATAGTATATAAAATTTCATACAGACCTTCCTTTCCTCTTTCTTTATATGGAAGAAGCGATGCCAAAAGGTAGCAACTACTTGTTTTTTTATATATTCAAAATTTTGTGACTTTTGTACAAACTAAAAGTTGCCATGCACATTCAGTGCCATTGTACCTTAAAACTAATACTTAACTACATAACTCCCTGTTACTTATTATTTGTAGTTGCAAAATGTAAATTTTATCAACTGTAAGTTGTACCAACAAGGTGTATTGAATCAGGCGCGCCAGCACGGCCGGCAGCCCGCGCCGCCGAGCCCGCATTCGCACAGCCCACCGCACCCCGCGCCGACCGGCGTCCGCGCCTACTCCTGCCAACATTGGGAGTCCCGCCTGCTTGCGCCGCCGCGACCTCTCTCCGCACTCGTCTCCGAGCCACATTCACCATGCGATACCGTCGAGGTATAATTGCCTGTGATGTGTGTCTATATGTTTGTATCAGACTAAGCATGTGTATTAAAGGGCCATTCACAGATTGAACGTCACAAGGGGAGGAAAGAGACTAGGTTAGTCTGTTAGACTGTTTAAGTTCACTCCCTCCACCTGTTACACAATAAAATTTATTTAAAAAATTAATATATAATATTAATAATACACAACACTAGAACTGTTGACGGAAAACTTAAATATTTAATAAAGTTCCAAAGTATGTGTTTTCACACTAGGGAGCGAGAGTCTTACACATATGACAAGGATGAGGCCCCCTTGTCCTTGACACATGTGTAAAATGGGTTAAAAGTGATGAAATTCATGTGACGTGATTTATGTATGGCCTCTAATAGAATATAAGAAATTTATGTGTTGTAAACTATTCAAATTATATTTATGTACTGTAGTTAAGTAAATGTTTGTTGTGATCTATTTAGAATTAATGTTATAGCATGAGCGAGACAATGCAACTTCGCGTAAAATTTCGTTTGTAAGCACCTTTAATAGCCTTCCATTTAACAAAATGATCTTTCATTTAAAGTTATTTAATTAAAATTTAAATAGAGAAGCGCCAGTGAATTAATGAAATATAAGCAATAACATGTGTTATAAGATAGTGTTGTTTTGTGAAGTGTTAAAACTGGGCCGGCCATGAAACTGCGACACCTTAAACGGAGCAGCGTCCGATGGCAGGTGTCGAAGAATCAGAGACTTCGCCTTGATATCAGGAACGAAACATGAGTGAAACCATTAAAAAAAGTGGACACAGTACAAACGTTGTTTCATAACAAACGTAATACTAATCTATATTAAACGCCAAATTGCGCCTGCTTCCATTATTCATTATTTTCTCACAAACATATCGTATATTAAGAGATAACGACCACTAAGTAATTAAATCGTTCAATTAGCTATAAATTTAATATAGTTTTGCGCCTTTCTTGTGCCTATCTTATCCAATTCTAAAGCATTTAAAAGTGAGATTCAATTGAAAGTAATTAACGCTGTGATGGGACTAATATAAGAGTGATATCGACGTTTGATGTGTAAAATATAAATAATATTTTCAAAATTATTAAATTATAAAGTAATAAATAGGTAGATTCAAAATTTAGTAGTTCTATAGTCGCGCTAGTATTAGTGTTAGTAAATTTGCTCGAATCTGCATTTCTAAATAATAAAGCTAGTGAGTTTTTAAAGTTAAATGTGTAGACGTTAAAGCGGTCCAAGTGTTGTGACGTTGCACGTGACTGGTGTAGTGCGTGTATTGTGAACTAGTCGTGTGACGCTTGCTCTTGGCCGCCGGCTGAGTGTTTTGCCAGCGCTTATCCAAGGCCACAAAACTGGCAAGTATGCAGGCAGCTCTTATGCTAAGAGCCAAATCGCGGGAGAGAAGAAAACAGCGACTTAAAAGAGGGATCAAGCATGAATTACCAAGTAATGTCGCCACGAAGACAATCGCACCGTTCCCGAGATATCCTCCTGCTTCATGGGTATGTTTTAGTAATAACTATAATATTAATAACAACTATTATACATTATAGTTTTAAGAATAAAACAAATATGAAGTCGCTACTAGAATCTACTACTCTAATACTGACCGTATTAGGGTAGTAGATTCTATAAATTCTAACAACAAATTATACTACTAACTTACAACATACATAAAAATACTTTTGTTGTGTAACATATAAATATGATCAAATGATCAAATGCAAATAATTATATGTTGTTTATATATAAAACCAAAAATAGATACATATATGTATTATTTTACAGGGGCAGCCTAATTCGTAAATAATGTTTATTAACTAACGAATCTGATTGAAAACAATTTAAGATTTAAACAAATTAACATAATTATGGCATTATATTGAATAATAAATGGTTGACTTATTGAAAGTTATAATCTATGGTTAATATGAGGTACTATTAAGTTAATTGAAGTAATTAATTATACATACCTAAAATACTACCTATGAACAATGAAAATATAAATATAATAATAGGGTATTCGATTGGTTTCTCAAGTCACCAGCGTGCTAGTATTCAAAGGTACTTTGATACTTGTAATAGTACCAAGAATGGCAACTTTTTTGTTTTATATAATTAAATGGCAAACAAGTTGACGGTCCATATATTATAATAAGTGAAGAGCACCATAGAAAGCACATTATTATTGAAGCGGAGGTATCTAATATGTCTGATGAGTGAGAGGTGCTGAGGGTTTTATAAGGAAAATACGGAGATAAAATAAAATGCGACTAATATGACAGCGATATATAATAGAAAGTAACAAAAAGAATATGACAAAGAATATATTATTATAAAATTTAAAAATTGTATAAAAAATTATCAAGGAGTTCGCTACAATTATTATGACTTGTCTATGACTCATGCGTTGCCACTCCGGTGGTCTAAGATGACTCTGTACCCTGTAAATTTACATCATCACACTTTTGCTGGTATTTACCAATGGTTTAACAAAAATAACTCGAGGAATATGTAACTTAATACTGGACTAACTTAGCAATATTACTTCTTTGCGGTTTAATTTCTCTTTCCTTTTTGTGTTTCTGTGAAAAATTTTAATATTTGTAATGATTGGATTAGAAGTTTTTACTTTTACTTTGTGGTAGTACTCAAACATCTCAACGTATTACTTCAGGGTTGATAACATCTTTCAAATTGTCCAGGTTAATCCTTTCCACCTTTGCGTCGTCAGCTTGTTTACCATAAAAAAAGTATTAGTTGAATTCAGTTTCGCACTATTACTTCAGAGAAATTAGGTGTAGTTTATTCTGAACTTTCGATCTTTGTGTATTCACCACTGTGGTACATTGTGTAATTTTAATTGTGTTGTGACGTTTTTACATTAATGGGAATATATTTATAACTTTACTGACCATTGACGGCCTCGGTGGTCCAGCTGTTTAGCACACCTTATTCCAAAGAGTGTCAGAGTGAATTGAATATGTAATATGTATTTACGAAAAACAAAAGATTCTAAATAGTTGCATCAGTTATCAAGTACTCATACCACATGGTCTAGATGGAGCTGTGTGAATTGTCCTTAGATTATTATTATTATTGACCAGAAACTAAACTCTGAACAAAGTTATCTGGTCACATACTACTTTACCATAATAAATATTTTAATGCTTGCACGCTGTAATTCGAGTAAAATTACTAGGTTCTAGGTCCCACTAATATATGTAATTTGCAAGTCGATACTGCCATCAGGCTAAAGGACGTGAAAAATTAAATATTTATGTTTGAAGTTGATACGGAACCTGTACTAAGGAAATTATTAATATGTTGACAAAGAGCTTTTGTAAAGCCTATGTAGCTAATTATGTCACGTAGTGGTATTATTTTTTAAATTGAAAAATTATTAAAACCCTTTATTTATCTTTTGAAATTACAGGCTATCATTTCGGAGCAGTATTTAAAACTTCCAAATTTCAAATCAACCATTACTAATTTGTGAAATATAGTACAGACGGAGTAACAATTAACAGTGGGTTGATTGAAACATAAGGATTCCAGTTTTATATATTATGTGCATATGTATGTATTTATAAAAAATATATCTTTGTACTCGTATCGGTTATCTAGTATCTATAGCACAATTTGTGCTTAGCTTGGGACAAGATGGCGTTATAAAAATTGTCCTGATACAGTTTTATTACTATCTTATATATATATATATATATAAGTTACTTGTCACGTTGTTTGTCTGCGATGAACTCCTAAACTACTGAACCGATTGCGAAATTTTTTGGATGTGTAATTTGAAAGATATAGTCGCAATATTATTTTATACAAGAACCTAAGGTTCTTGAATAAAATAATATATACATAGCAACGCGTGGTCGTGTCTGCTAGTTATAATATAAATTAAAAATAAAATAGACAACATTTCTTAATGCAATGCAGCAATGGCCATGAACAAACTAGAGTAACTTAACGTCACTTACTGCTGGTGAAAATTATTTGTAGTACGAGCAAGTGCTTATAATCCTTATATACCATCACGTAGAAAGACTTTTAAATCTAAAATAATATAAAAATATAAGTTAAATTTTAAATTCAAGGATGTGAATAAATATATCTTGAGATTCCACGACTGCTTGTGTGTAATAGTTTGTAATAGATTTTTTTAAACTTTAATTGCCAATTTGTGACCTTGGTCGTCTCAATTAAATAGACCTAAATCGATATCGAAAAATAATGTATATTATGTTTTGTGTATACATGTATCACACACTCTTTAGTAGTATGATTAGGTATGAAACATACTCACAAAGTTTTCATTATTTTTGTAATACTAGAATCAGATAATATTCTCCACTCGACTTCAATTTGTCTACAAGTAAGTAGTGTCTGAAAGAGCTCACAAATTGATAGCATTACTGCTGCCCCTTTGTATCTCAAGTACTGATATCTTGAGTCGTCTAATATTATAGTTAATAATATAATTTATCAAGAAATAAGCATACTTCAAGTTTGTTTTTTTATATATCTGAAATAGCAAACAAAAACAAGCTAATGACTCGTCAACTCGCTCGTAATTGCAACTGTTTCCTGTATGCATTTGCCTATATATATATATATATATACACCAAGGGTATCACATCTCTATATCCCGTAATTTCATTGACATATCTTAACCTTCATAAAACATATTATATTAGTATCGATTAATGTCTATTCAGAGAACAATTTTGCAGTATTACTGCCGGCCTAGATATTAAAAATTCTACGTTTGTCAGTGTTACACCCGAAAAACAAATATTTGAAGGCTAAATTACTAGGTCACAGACAATGTAGTCGAGAACAATGTACTGTATCATTTTTAACAACAATTTTAGCAAGAAATATTACGGGTAACATTTCTTGAATTATCGTCCTCAGGCGCTCTTCGTTCCATTCATCCCGTTTTCTATTGTTTCTGACTTCGTTATTTTTAT